AAACAAAAAACAAATTGTGCTTCTTCCTCACCCCAGTGAATTCCTCACAAACTTTGTTGTTGTTTAGTCATTTAGTCATGTCCGACTCTTTGTGACCCCATGGACCAGAGCACGCCAGGCACTCCTGTCTTCCACTGCCTCCTGCAGCTTGGTCAGACTCATGTTCGCAGCTTCGAGAATGCTGTCCAACCATCTCGTCCTCTGTCATCCCCTTCTCCTTGTGCCCTCCATCTTTCCCACCATCAGGGTCTTTTCCAGGGAGTCTTCTCTTCTCATGAGGTGGCCAAAGTCTTGGAGCCTCAGCTTCACGATCTGTCCTTCCAGTGAGCACTCAGGGCTGATTTCCTTCAGAATGGATACGTTTGATCTTCTTGCAGTCCATGGGACTCTCAAGAGTCTCCTCCAGCACCATAACTCAAAAGCATCAATTCTTCGGCAATCAGCCTTCTTTATGGTCCAGCTCTCACTTCCATACATCACTACTGGGAAAACCATAGCTTTAACTATACGGACCTTTGTTGGTAAGGTGATGTCTCTGCTTTTTAAGATGCTGTCTAGGTTTGCCATTGCCTTTCTCCCAAGGAGCAGGCGTCTTTTAATTTCGTGACTGCTGTCACCAACTTACAAACTTACGTAGCACCAAATTGCAGCCCTAGAGAAACTCTCAAGCAAATGTCCCCAAAGACTGGAAGCCTCGCTCAGCCGCCCCTCTGGCTCCTGAGATTTCAGCAGGGAATTCAGTCACGCTCCCATATCTTTGTAAACATGAGGACTAGAAACTTGAGTTTCTTTTCATTTTTTTTTAACAAAAAGGAAGCTCAGCAGGCTGATAGCTGCAGTTTGCATACCTTCGCATCGCATTGCTTTGCTTTCTCTGCGATCTAGTGGGAATTGTGGCATCCACACATAGCCTCTCTTCTGAGGCTGCGTACAGCCTCACCCTGCGTACAGGGTGAACTGTCCTCAAGGTTACAGCCAAAGTCATCCGGAGTCAAATTTTATCCGTGGAATGCAAAAGGCCGCTGCCTCTTCTTTGCTCTCCCATGAGGATTAGTGTTTTCCTATCCATCAAATTAAAACAACGGCGAAAAGAGATGTCGTCAAAACCGCAGCAAGCTGTTGAACAAAGTGGTTTGAGCTTCTAGAGGCTGGAGCGATGTTGTTTCCCCGAGACCTTTCCTATTTGCATCCCCTGAAAGGCATTTCTGTGCGTCCGCAAAACGAAACCATTGATCTCTGCACTTCGCTTGGCAGGGCTCAGCTATTCCCATTGCTGCCTGTTTATATGAAATCCGGTTTTGTTTTTACAATGAAACTTTAGCCGGCAGCTTCGCTGTTCCTTTTAAAAGAGAAAATATTGACTGGGGTTTTATTGCACCATTGTTGTTTTTTTTAAAAAAAGAAAAGGAACGTGACTTGCATCCACAGCTGGTTTAAGAACATAAGGAAAGCCTGCTGGGTCAGGCCAGCATCCTTCTCTCACAGTGGACGACCAGGTGCCTTATGGGAATATCTCAAGCAGCACCTGAATGGAACAGCCCTCCACAAGTGGAATACGTCAGGCAGAAAAATACAAGAGAAGATGAAGAAATTAGAAAAGAATGTACTACGGCACTGACAAAATAGGATTTGTATTTGTACATACTGGACTTGGTGATCAACTGAAAAGCTACTTTTTAATATATCATGTCACGAAGTTGATTTCGACATTATGAGAAGCTCTCCTCAATACCAGCAATTGGCAGTCAAAAGCCCTGGAGATAGTATATGCTTGGCCATGATGGCTGGTAGCCACTGGCAGCCTTCTCCTCTATGAGATGTGTGGTCTTACGCAGTTGAACTTTTTGTGCCCTTGCCAAAACCTCTGTGCCGATGCCTTTTTTGCAGGAAATATGCGGCAGTTAATAATTTAACCAGTGGAAGGTCCCACTTGCCACAAAAAGGAAAGGCCAACCCCAGTTGTGTTGCTTCTCTTTGCTTCCTGTTAGAGTAACATACCCAAACCAAAATGACCTTAAAAAATATATGAGTAAATGTGCCCATAAACTCCCAGCCCCGCCGATTTAAATTTAGCTTTTCTCTATTAAATTCTGGGCCCTCCCACCCATTTCCAGCTAAACCAATTAAGGTTGAAACCCAGTGCTAATTGGCACATGTATATTTTTCCTGCTAAATGAAAATAAGAAATAGCATGCTAATTGATTCCTTTGTCCAACAACGTGTATCTCTTAACGGAAAACAAAATGCAACAGTGTGAGCTGCATCAGACATTTCTGGAGCACTCCTGGGCTGCAGAGTACAGTGGCCTGGGATGACTTAGCCATTCCCTATCAAAGAGCACTGCAGGGCAGGGCAAGTGAGAGGGACTTGTAGTCCTCCAGATGTTATTGGACTACAGTTCCCATTGCTCCTGCCAATCACCCATGCTGGCTGCAGCGATGGAGTCCAAAAACATCTGGAGGGCCATAGTTTCTTCTTCCTTGCTTTAGGGCTTGGGGGTGGGACCCCCAGGGTGCGTTGCAGGCTATGTTCTCAATATAATAACAGTTACCGTGGCCCGAGCAATGCATCCTACTGGTTTCGTAGTTCTGTTATTAATGGAGATGGTTTGCACCCATGACTGAAAGATGAAGAAGAAGAAGAAGAGGAGGAGGAGGAGGAGGAGGAGGACGACAACAACAACAACAACAACAACAGCAACAACAACAACAAACTGGGATTTTATACTGCTCTTTCCTTCTTTGCTCTAGCCAAAGGGGGAGTTGTCAGCTAAAAGCAGGCATGGGAGGAAAACATTTGGGAGGAAAGTGAAATCAAGGTAGTAACTAAAGGAATATAGTTGGAAGCTAGCTGCCTCTTTCTGCACCAGCAATGAGGATGGAAAGAAAGAATCCTTGGCAGATGACCATCCAACCTCTGCTTAAAAACCACTAAAGAAGGTGAATCTGCCACCTTCCAAGGGAGTCCATTCCACTGTTGAACAGCTGTTGCAGTCAGAAAGTTCTTCCTAATGTTTAGCTGGAATCACCTTTCTTGTAATTTGAATCTACTGGTTTGGGTCCTAGCCTCTGGAACAGCAGAAAACAAACCTGCTCCATGTGGCAGCGCTTCAGGTATTTGAAGATGGCTATCGTATCCCTTCTCAGTCTTCTCTTCTCCAGGCTAAGCATACCTAACTCCTCATATGGCTTGGTTTTCAGACCTTCGTCACTTGGTTCTCTTCCTCTGCACAGGTTCCTGCTTGTCAATAGCTTTCTTAAATTGTGGTGCCCAGAACTGGACACAGGACTCCAGGTTCAGTCTGAGGAAGGCAGAATAGAGCAGTACTATTGCTTCCTTGATCTGGACACAATACTTTTTTTGCTGCGGGACGCGGGTGGTGCTGTGGGTTAAACAACAGAGACTATGACTTGCCAATCAGAAGGTCGGTGGTTCAAATCCCTGCGACGGGGTGAACTTCTGTTGCTGGGTCCCTGCTCTTGCCAACCTAGCAGTTCGAAAGCACGTCAAAGTGCAAATAGATAAATAGGTACCACTCCGGCAGGAAGGTAAACGGCGTTTCCGTGCACTGCTCTGGTTCGCCAGAAGCGGCTTAGTCATGCTGGCCACATGACCCAGAAGCTGTACGCCGGCTCCCTCGGCCAATAAGCAAGATGAGCGCCGCAACCTCAGAGTTGGCCATGACTGGACCTAATGGTCAGGGGTCCCTTTACCTTTACCTATAATTGCATTAGCTGTTGGCGGGGGCTGTTGCATCACACTGTTGATTCATGTTAAGAATGTGTTCTACTAAGACCCCTAGATCCATTTTAACGTGCTGAGTTTTGTAAGTGCTGCAAAAACAATGTTGGCATGTTGTTCTTAATAGATTTCCCAAAGTGCGCTCTCTCTCTCTCTCTGTGTGTGTGTGTGTGTCAGTGCTGCTCCAGGACTAGCTTCTAGCAGTTGTAGACTTCTGATCTGATGTAACTTTTGGCTGCAATTTTAATTGAGAACTGATGAAATAGGTCTTGCAGATTTTTGAAGCAATGCAAACCTGTGTATAGCTCACAAATAGCTCAGTCCCAAGGAATTCTGACTCTCACTTGTTTTAACAATAGCAGCAACAAAATGCCAGGTCTAGTATTTGAAACAAGCTCCTGAGCTCAGAATCCCGTAACTGTGAGTATACATGCTGCCTTCAGTGTTAGCCCTACTCAGAGTAGACCCAGTGAAGTTCAAAAACATGAATAGCTTCATGTCCATTAATTTCACTGGGTCTGCTCCAATTAGGACTCAAAGCTATGACTTTTGCTCTTTACTCCCGTTGGTCAACGTAAGAGTCCTGGTAAAAAAATGAAGTAGCTTCTGCAAGCCTGAAGTTTGCCCAGCTTTGACCTCTTTGCAAAGTTAGGATTTGATCTATAAATTACTTAATCTAGCAGACCATGGAGTCTCATTCCTAAGCAATACTTGCCTTGCCCCATTCCTGTAACTTTGGAATTCTAATGTCTCATTTAAGCAGAATATCCTTGATTTGGACGCCAGGAAGAAAGTCATTGGTAGGCTAAAGTAGTGGCTGTGGGCTTCTCAGACTCCTAACCTGAATGTGGTCCTTTTCAGGGGAAACGGGCATTGGCAAATCGACGCTCATGGACACCCTGTTCAACACAAAGTTTGAAAGTGACCCAGCCACTCACAACGAGCCTGGCGTGCGGTTGAAAGCAAGGAGTTACGAACTTCAGGAGAGCAACGTCCGCCTGAAGCTGACGATCGTTGACACGGTGGGATTTGGAGACCAGATCAACAAAGATGACAGGTAGCATCAAGGCTGCTCCAGACTATTCTTTGAAGGGCCAAGCGCTTTGCAGAGTAGAGGGAAATCACACGTGTAAGCTTTCCTCATGCTGGAAGGTTTTGGTGGAAAGTTTACATGTTCCATTTGCCTCTTGATCTGCAGGGTGAAATGTGGTATGCTTTTCAAACATGCGATTTCTCCCCAAGTGCCTTTTGAGGTGGGAAAAGCCCTCTGTGAGAAAGATATGATGACACAGACAACTTTTGACTTATCCATTTGGGGCAGCGGCAGACTCAGATTTAAGTGGAACAATGGATGTGATGTGTCTTACCTTTGCACATTAGTCTTTGAAACTCCCTCCGTAGAGAAGCTGGACTAGCAGGTGAAGCCCTTGTCGTCCAAGCAGGCTTTTGGCCATTGATTGCTTTTTACTTAAAAGGGTTGGTGCTGTGTTTTCATTGTAACTGTTGGTATGTTTTAAAACACATCCTATATATGTATATAATTTCGATTCTATCCATTTTGGGTTTTTTGACTATTGGTTTTTCTATGTTTCCAGCTGTTCTTATCTGTAAGCCAAAGAGTCGTGTCAGGGAAAATGGTGTGCTATCAGTAAATATATAGCAATATCAGTGCCCCATTCACACTATACATTTAAAAGACAGGCATGACTTTCCCCAGAGAATTATGGGATGTGTAGTTTATTAAGACCACTCCGGCGGGAAGGTAAACGGTGTTTCCGTGCGCTGCTCTGGTTCGCCAGAAGTGGCTTAGTCATGCTGGCCACATGACCCGGAAGCTGTACACCGGCTCCCTCGGCCAATAAAGCGAGATGAGCACCGCAACCCCAGAGTCTGCCACGACTGGACCTAATGGTCAGGGGTCCCTTTACCTTTACTAGTTTATGAAGGGTGCCAAGACTTATTAGCAGACCCCTCTTCACCCACTACAACTCCCAGAGCAGTTTAACCAGTGCTATTTTTCTAGAAAAAGAGGGGCCGGAACTCACCACGAATTCCTCCCTTGTTCTCTTATAACGGCAATGGTGTCTACCTGAGAGGTGCTGGAACTAAGTTCTAGCTAGGAAAAAAAGCCCTGAGTTTAGAAATCAACTCTTCTTCCCAGGGAACTCTGGGAATTGTAGTTCTCTGAGGGAGAATAAGGGTCCCCTAACAACTCTCTTGCATTTTTAGCAAACCACAGTTCCCAGGATTCTTTGGGAGGAAGCCATGTCTGCTTAAAGTGGTATGATACTGCTTTAAATGTGCAGATGGGGCCTTAGGTTTTAAACCTTGCTGGGAATCTCAGCCCTCCTTGCTGAACTCTCCTCTCCCTTCATCAAGCCTGGATGTGTGTAGTGTGTGTGTGTGTGTGTGTGTGTGTGTGTGTGTGTGTACAGACGCACTGAAACAGCTCTTATTTTTTGAAGTGGCACATATGTGCACAAACCAAGGGGGAAAGGACTTCTAAAATGAAAAGCCCGCCCCCGCTCCCAGGAGCAGGTGTTCCATATGGAAATGTGTTGCCACTTTGTCTCCTGAACCGCTTTGCATCTGATTTAATTCAGCAAGAGCCAGAAGCATTGTCGCCCCTCATCTGTCAAGACCTCCTTTGTTCAAGGGTGTACAGCAGGGCTCACGCTATGACCTGCGACGTGAATGGGAGAGCCGTTACCTCCTCTGCGCCTTGTCACAATCGGGCGCTTGTCCCAAACGATCGCAAGCTAAGCATCGCGGCTGCAATTAGTCTCCTGCCCTGGCCTGGCTCGTTTTAGTGATTTACAAGGGGGTTCTTCTCTCTAAGCCCAGAGCAGGAAGAGCTCCAAGACGTCAACGCTGATTGCTTACAATGCGCACTGTTTACGGAGGCCACTTGTGGAGCATATGCGTTGTCTCCGGTTTCTGAAGAAGGCAGGTCTGGGAGGAAAAGATCAGGATCACAAGATGCATCTCGTTTCAAGACTTTCCTTTGTCTTTTCCAGTTTTATGCATGCTGGTGGGTCTTCTGTGGCCATGCAGCTTGATTACCCAGGGCTGCGTTCGGTACCCGTGTTTGTCACAAGGTCAGCCATCGATGGGTTTCTCTTTCAAGCAGCACAAGACATTCTCACCAGCTTTGTCAGGGCTAGCAATATTTTAGAGCGGAGCTTTCCAAACTGGTGACACGCTTTTTAGACATGCATCATTTTGTGAAACAGTCATTCAGTTTTACTAGCAAATTGGACCTTTAAAGCCCTAAACAGCCTCGGCCCAGTATACCCCACCCATCGTTCAGCCTATACACTGAGGTCCAGCTCTGAGGGCCTTCTGGCAGTTCCCTCCCTGTGAGAAGTGAGGTTACAGGGAACCAAGCAGAGGGCCTTCTAGGTAGTGGCGTCCGCCCTGTGGAACACCCTCCCACCAGATGTCAAGGAAATAAACAACTATCTGAGGCTGCATGTTTGATATGGATCAGGGACTGGATAAAACTGGAAAAGGAAGAAGCACTGGACTTAGAAGGCCACGATAATAGATTTGGATGGCATGCATATTTATGGTATGGGAAAGGAAAAGTGTTCGATATTATTATTATTATTATTATTATTATTATTATTATTCTGTTGGGAGCTGCCCAGAGTGGCTGGGGAAACCCAGCCAGATGGGTGGGGTATAAATAAATAATTTAGGGCGATCTGGCTGCGACATCTGTCACCCCATTGATCGCCAGGGTTGATTCGGCTGATCTGGCTGGCTAGGCGAGTGTCCCCTTCCTCCCTCACCACTCCATGTGCGTCCCTCCCGAAGCTGCGTGCTCAGTGGAAGAGGACGACCATCCCAGATAGAAGGAGTGTACCGTTCTTCAGTCAAGGGTATACGATAGCTGCGCTCCCCTGCTAGAACCTCCAAACAAGGTCCATTTGTAGGAAAACATAGGGTAGTCAAGTTTCCAATTTTTTTTTAAAAAAAACTAACTCCTTTCCAGCCCCCGGGAGGAGCTCGGGAAGCATTTGCATGACACACCTACACACTGCAGCCAACATACTTAATGGGTCGTGACACACAGTTTGGAAAGCTCTGTTTTAGAGGATTTGTATCTCAGTTGGAGAGGGCTTGAAATGTAAGGTGCTGAGGGGAACCTATGCATAACAAGCTTTCTTAACCTGCATAGAGCATAATGCAGCGCTACTGACCTCCTAATTATATGTCAACGTTTTCCCTTTTTTAAGGGAAATTCCCTTATTCCGAATAGGATTCCTTGCAAGAAAAGGGAAAAATTGACAGCTACACTCCTAATATGTGACCAATACAGTATATGGAACCTGTGAAGAGAGGCAAAATAATCAGACTAAACACTGACTTTTGTTTTGTCTTTTGTTCATTTTTACAATTCTGGGGATCTCTCTCCTGGTGTTTGTTATTTATGATGCGTAGCCGTACCTTCTACGAAATCAATATATACATTTTAAAAACATAATCAAGTAAACGAGCAAGGGGATTTTCAGTTGCATAGTAGTCACAAGTGAAATGGGCGCGCCACTCCCATAGGTGGTGAGCCTCGCCAAATCATTTCTTGAAACAATTCGTTTCAGTGTTTGCATGTTACCTGAAACCCGGAATATGTTGTTTGAATGGCTATGTCTCTTATTATCTCCTTTTAAAAACCAGTTTAGCAGGCAGTTTAGCTATTTCCACACAGGGAGCCCAAGAATGCTTAAGTTCGTTTTAAACTAGTTTTGGGAACGCATGTTGTAGCTGAACTTTAAAAGCCTTCAGTTTGCTGACTGCGCTTTATCTGGCAGCAAAGCTATTTTAATGACTTCATCTAAACTTTCCTAAATAGGAAATAAGCTTTAGCAAGGAATTCTTGGAATGTGCGGCTTGTGGGGAAGAATTTCAAGGATGCCTGCTTTTTAACCCGTTCTGAAAGTGAGGCATCTTGGCTTCCATAAAGGCGGGTGAGATACCACAGCTGCCACAGCACATGTAAGGAGAGAAGGGTATAGCGCAGTCCCTGGCACCATTGCCATGGTTGCATATTGAGGCCTCCATTCACCCACACGGTTTCTTATCCTCACAACCATCCTGTGAGGTTGGTTAGGCTGAAAACGCAGCGGCTGGCCCAGAGGTCACAGCGGCTGGCTTCAAGTGTCACGCAGCTCACCCCACTCCTAATCTGTGAGTAACCTCAGGCCCAAATGTGACCCTCCAGGACTCTGTATCCCGCCTTCAAGACTCGTCTCAGTCCAAAACCCTCCCCAGGCCTGCACTGTACCCTGCCTGGGTTTTTCTGCCTGGTTTAATTGCGTCCTTCAACTCCCAAAGATGCTCCTTGCTTCCTGGGATGCAGGACACAGTGTGTGCGCATAAAACAGGGGTCGGCAAAGTTTTTGCAGCTTGGGCCGATTCACGGTCCCGCGGACGCCATGGTGGGCCGAAACGCACACACATGCACAAATGCTCCTTCCAGCACTGAGGAGGTGTGCGCAGCTTCCTGTAGCCAATGGGAGGCCGCCCAGCGTTGCAGAAGGCGGCCCCTGCTCCGCTCCGCGCCGGTTTAGTGTGGCGCACAGGAGGCGACCGAGCGGGAGGCAGGGGTCCATGGGCCGGTTAAACGACCCCCGTGGGCCGCTTGTGGCCCATGGGCCTTCGGTTGCTGACCCCTGGCATAAAACTAGACAGCTGTATAAAGGGGTGTGGGTGTATGTATGTGTATATATAGATATAGGTACAGGGGTACCTTGGGTTAAGAACTTAATTCGTTCCGGAGGTCTGTTCTTAACCTGAGGAACCACTTTAGCTAATGGGGCCTCCCACTGTCGCCGCGCGATTTCTGTTCCTATCCTGAAGCAAAGTTCTTAACCCGAGGTACTATTTCTGGGTTAGCGGAGTCTGTAACCTGAAGCGTATGTAACCTGAAGTGTATGTAACCCGAGGTACCACTGTATTAATAGTAATAATAATAATAATAATAATAATAATAATTAATTTATTTATTTATACCCCGCCCATCTGGCTGGGTTTCCCCAGCCACTCTGGGCAGCTTCCAACAAAGCATTAAAATACAGTGGTCTGTCAAACATTAAAAGCTTCCCTAAACAGGGCTGCCTTCAGATGTCTTCTAAAAGTCTGGTAGTTGTTGTTCTCTTTGACATCTGGTGGGAGGGCGTTCCACAGGGCGGGCGCCACTACCAACAAGGCCCTGTGCCTGGTTCCCTGTAACTTGGCTTCTCGCAGAGAAGGAACCGCCAGAAGGCCCTCGGCGCTGGACCTCAGTGTCTGGGCAGAATGATGGGGGTGGAGACGCTCCTTCAGATAGATAGATATTCATTGCTCCACCCATTTATGCCTCTGGCCCCACCACGGGCAAAGTCACCCAGAAGGGAATGTGTCACTTGTTCCGAAAAAGCTCCCCCCCCCCACTTGCTGCAATGACTGCACCATGCTGGCTCCCTCTGGAAAGGATATCTGATTGCAGAGCTGGGGAAGAAACCCAGGAGAGTTGCAACGGGCAAACGTAGGCTATGTTCAAGTCTGAGGTGCTGGTGGTAAGAGCACCGACAAGGAGAGCAATTGTGCTCGTGGCTACAGGAACTTTGAAGCACCGCCTTTATGCCATAGAAACAAAGCAATACAGTTATCTCTAGAACATGTGGGCAAAGGGACAAAGAACTGGAGAGTCGGGGAACAAACCGCAGAGTTTCTGAGACATCATGGCTTCAGCATACCAGTTGCTGCGATTCACAGGTGGGCAGAGGGTTGTTGTTCAGCTTGCAAGCTTCCCACAGGCATCTGGTCGGCAGTGTCAGAAACTGAGATATGAAGGCTAGGAGCTAAAGGACGCCTTAAACCCAGGTTATGGGTGCAGCAACGGAATGTCTAGGCGTGCTTTTCTATAACAAGAATGCAAAGCTGAAAACGAATGGACTCCTGCTAAAATACTACGTTCATTTTTCATATGGTCTAGTCCTTCCCCTACCCACCCTCCTAATATTCTCAAGAGGGTCTCTTCTCCAGTCTTCAGAGAGTAGCTGGAAGTAGGGAGGCAGGAAAAGGTCCCACAGTCGTACCTCGGGTTACAGACGCTTCAGGTTGCGTTTTCTCGGGTTGCAGACTGCCGAAACCTGGAAGTACCGGAACGGGTTACTTCCGGGTTTCAGTGGTCGCACATGCGCAGAAGCGCTAATTGCACTTTGCGCATGCGCAGATGTGCCAAATCACAACCCACATGTGCGCAGATGCGGGTTACGGATGCTTCGGGTTGCAAATGTGCATCCCGCACAGATCACGTTCGCAACCCGAGCGTCCACTGTACTTTCCTCCCACTTTGCAGTTTTAATCTGAAATATTAGGCGCAGTAATCTGAAATATTAGGCCCAGAGCTCAGAAACTGCTCAGAAATTCCCTGTTGCAAAATGCGCCTTAGAACAATGGGAGTTTTGAACACTGCTGGTCAGCCACTGTGAGAACTAGAGAACTGAGAACTAGATGGGATATTGGCAAGATCTAGCAGGCTCACCTTATATTTTACCTGTTATTTGCAGGCCACCTGTCTTCTGTAGGATAGTGGCTTCCTTTGGCTGCTGTGATTTCTGCAGCAAGCCTTTGTCCGAAGTAGGAATCCTGATGTTGTGTAGAAGTATTTTCTTTTGTGTGTGAACTACTGTCTGTGCCCATGGCTCAGTTCTGTGGGAGTGCAGAAGGGGCGTGGAATGTTATATTCAGTGTTAGAAACTCGGGTATATAAGCTAGGCTCCAAATGACACCTTGAATCTAGATTGCAATCGCCACAACAGAATGTCTGTTTACCTGGGGGTTGGACTAAATAATCCTCTGGGTCCCTTGTAACGCTGCAGTTTTATGATTCCATGATCTCAGCTACAATGCTTGACTGTAGCTTGCTCTTACAACAGTTCACTTGTCCCAGTGCAGAAAGGAAGAACACACACAGCGGAAATGGGAATGGTATTAGTGATGGACTAAGGCAGAGGCTTTTAAACTGCAGTCACCAGCCTAGTGCCCAGAAATCTCCATGTAGTCCCAACTGGCCCTATGCCAGTAGCAAAATGCTCCTGGCGCCTGGCTAATTTCAAACACAGGTTATATTGCGCGCACAATTCAGTTTTTCTTGAGAATCTATTTTCATGTACTGAATTGAGCAAGTTCCTAGTCCCTAACGTCTGTAGATAGAGGCTTGAAAGTGCATGTATGGGCAATGCATGCCTTAGGAGCCAGAAGTGTGGCTGAGGAACATCTCCAATGATGGTGGTTGGGACCTGAGTGCCATACCTCCCCAAAGCTCCTTAACCCCTTCTCATGACCAGCATAAATTATATTTAAAAATGCAGGTACATTATGAGTTGGGTTCATTTGCAGTACAGTGGTGCCCCGCAAGACGAATGCCTTGCAAGACGGAAAAACCGCTAGACGAAAGGGTTTTCCGTTTTGGAGTTGCTTCGCAGGACGAATTCCCCTATGGGCTTGCTTCGCAAGACGAAAATGTCTTGCGAGTCTTGAGATATTTTTTTTGCTTTCCCCCCCCTTATCTAATCTGCTAAGCCTTTAATAGCCTTTAATAGCCTTTTAGCAGCTAATCCCCTAAGCCTTTAAGCCTTTAATAGCCGCTAAACCGCTAATAGCGCTAATCCGTCAATGGGCTTGCTTCGCAAGACGAAAAAACCGCTAGACGAAGACTCTCGCGGAACGGATTAATTTCGTCTTGCGAGGCACCACTGTACAGTGGTGCCCCGCAAGACGAATGCCTCGCAAGACGGAAAACCCGCTAGACGAAAGGGTTTTCCGTTTTGGAGGCGCTTCGCAAAACGAATTTCCCTATGGGCTTGCTTCGCAAGACGACAGCCCATAGGGAAATCTCAGGGACAGCGGGGAAGCGCAGCGCGTCTTCCCCACTGTCCTCGGACCTCCTCCGAAGCCTGGCGGCGGGGCGGGGACACCTCCTCCCGCCGCCGCCGGGCTTCGGAAGGCTCCTCCGACGCCGGGCGGGGGGGCGGGAACACCTGCCGCCGCCGCCCGGCTCGGAACGGTGCTCCGAGCCGGGCGGGGGAGGGAACACCTGCCGCCGCCGCCCGGCTCGAACGGTGCTCCGAGCCGGGCGGGGGAGGGAAGACCTCCCCGCCGCCCGGCTCGGAACGGTGCTCCGAGCCGGGCGGTGGGGAGGGAAGACCTCCCCGCCGCCCGGCTCCGGAACGGCGTGCTCCGAGCCGGGCGGGGGGGAGGGAACACCTGCCGCCGCCGCCCGGGTTCGGAACGGTGCTCCGAAGCCGGGCGGGGGGGGGGGGAAGACCTCCCCCGCCGCCCGGCTCGGGAACGGTGCTCCGAGCCGGGCGGGGGAGGGAACACCTCCCGCCGCCGCCCGGCCCGGAACGGTGCTCCGAGGCCGGGCGGGGGGAGGAACACCTCCGCCGCCGCCCGGCTCCGGAACGGTGCCCGAGCCGGGCGGGGGGAGGGAAGACCTTCTGAAGGCGGGCGGGGGCGAAAGTCTTTGCTCCCCTGCCTGCCTGTCCCGGAGGGCTTTTGAAGGCGGGGGAGCAAGACTTCGCCCGCCCGCCTTCAGAAGAGGTCCAGGACCTCTTCTGAAGGCTGGCGGGGGCAAAGTCTTTGTCCCCCTGCCTGCCTTCCCAGGGGCTTTAAATTGCCCCGGACAGCGGAGAAGTCCTCCGCTGTCCCGGGGTGATTTTAAATGCCGCCCGCCAGCATTTTAAGATCGCCCGGACAGCGGAGAAGTCCTCCGCTGTCCCGGGTTTTTAAAATGCTGGGGGTGGGAAGAAAAGCCCTTGCTCCCCCCAGCCTTCAGAAGAGGTCCGGGACAGACTGTCCCCGGACCTGGTCTGAAGGCGGTTCTCTAGGAACGCATTAATTGATTTTCAATGCATTCCTATGGGAAACCGTGCATCGCAAGACGAAAAACTCGCAAGACGAAGAGACTTGCGGAACGAATTAATTTCGTCTTGCGAGGCACCACT